TGCAANCGGAAGGTGTACGCTAATTTACGTTCCTCATTGTTCACAGGCGTTTCAGCAAGATTGAGAACTTCAAATGTTAGTTTTGAGGCTTTCGCGGCCATTATTAATGACTTGGTTGGCTTCCGGATGGATGCCGCGTTGAGTTTCAGCATNCTTTGCATTTTTTTATGCACTTTCAAATGAAATTGGTTTCATGATATTCGGAGCGATATATATTTTTTTTATTGAATAAATAACTTTTCACGGGGGTAGTTTACCCCCGAAATTTCACCCCTTGGAGATGATTTCAATTTCTATCTTAATCATTTTCCACGAGCTTCCTGTTATATTGCAAAAAATTTGTCTGAATATTCTCCCTATATGCGCAATTGAAGAAATACCCCGGGAGGTGGTCAACTTCAGAGGGCAGTTTCACCCCCTAAACCTGCGTATGGGCCGAAAAAAAAATACGTGGCACTTAGTTTTGAGTTCTCTATGACATATTCAAGTTTCATCAAAATCGGGGGCGGACACCTACCTAGTGTTCCTTGTCAACGAACAGTATTTTCGTTTAGTTGCCGACGAAAAAAGGCATAATTCGGCACTTATTGAATGACATATCATTGACAAAGATATATTATTCAGACACAGTTGGCATTTGTGGAAAGTCTTCTTCGATCTTTTATGGCACGCCGTGCATAAACGATCACAGATCTGCGTGCTTTAAACTCGACTTCTGCACGATGTGGCATAAAATAGTATAGACCACTCGGGCATAAACTTCGTTTTCAACGAATGTGAATACAAAACTAAACTATGACAACTATGTAAACTTCACATTCGTCGAAAACGAAATTTGTGCCCTTGTACTCTAATGTACTATGGGAGGTTAGCACGGGTGAAAAAACACTTATCGTTCTGTGATATAATACTTCATGTCCAAAGGAGCAATACCAGCATTTTAACGAAATTAACCCGTCAGCACTCGCGCCATTTCACCAAGAACCTTTACTCGGCTACTTATAGCTAGCGGGGGGTAGGGGGGAATGCAAATTTGGATTATTGCAATCGTTTGGTGGTTCGAAGGTGGTCAAAGGTAGTCCACTTTTAGCTTTTTGGTGGTAAAAATCAATTAATTATGAATAATCAAAAATTTCACCTGCAGCCAGCGGAAGGGATGCACCTTTTTGAAAAATTCAACATATGAATTTGTGTAAAATTCTGTGGTGGTCAAAGGTGGCGCAACACCAAATTCATCCGTTTATTTTTTTAACTGATAATGAATAATGTTTATCGGGTCTATCTTACCGAGAGGTATTTCCCCCACCACTTCCCACTCCGGGCCCTTTAAATCATTTCGGAGCACGTTTGGAGGTTACAAAATTGGTTTAATGAATAAGAATCTCAGACTTAAGTTCTTTTGTTATTCAATTTGTGTTTTTTTAATGAACGTGGAGTGAATACTACTAAAAAACATAATTGAACTTAAAACGGAGCATTATTCGTCCGAGTATAATCGTACTCAATTGTTTGGAAGTGACCCTGAGAAGATGAGGATCGAAAAAAATGCAACGATAAATGACAAATCATTTTTCCCGCTCCTATGTTTTTTAGATCTACAGCGATAGTACAATCACACTGTTCAAGACTGATTGAACCCATGCGACAGCTCCAGAATAAATTCATCAAGGAGTTGAACCACCTGACCAGTATACATATACGAGATGACGTGAATCCCGAAAGGAATTATTCATTTAGAGTCATCACTTTTTCATTCCATTGATTCACGGTCACCAGGAGAAGAGGAAGCTCCAGCTGTATTATGCTAGTGGTA